TTTTAGCTCTGTCCACTGAAAAGACTTAGAAATAATGACAAACTCAGTAAAAATGAGCATCTCTAAAACTTGATTATCATTTTGAAATCTCATTTCCCACTAAAGGAAACTGGGGATCCTTGAAAAAATGACTTATTCCTGGTGGGGAGCATTTAGTCCTAAAGAGAGCAAGGAAAGTTTATCATAGATGGTTGATGTTATGACAAAAGGATTCAAGAGGCAATCTGAAGAGGGTCCCACTGATCCAGTTTAGGACAACCTGATCAATAATATAATAATTGCAATGGATTAAAACATATCAGACACACGTAAATTCACTAATTCATAATAATAACAAAAAACTGGTTAAAGAAGTCAAAGGGGGGAACAGAATGGGCAAATTTAGACATCAAATTCAGAGTATAGGAAACCATAGAACAAAGAGTGAGTTTCTTCAAGAAATAGAATGAAACAGAAAAAATACGAGATGGGAAAAACTGAAAAACGACAAACTTGTCACTCATCTCAATTCGTGGACCTTAATTGACTCTGATTTAAATAAACTGTAAAAAATTATGTCATTTGTGAGATAAGTGGAAATTTGAACACAAAGCAAAAAGCTGCAGACATTAAAAAATTATTTTTAGGGGCCGGCCCGGTGGCACAGTGGTCAAGTTCGCATGTTCACCTTCGGCGGCCCTGGGGTTTGCTGGTTCTGATCCTGGGTGCAGAATCAGACCTACAAATCACTTGTCAAGCCGTGCTGTGGCAGGTGTCCCACATATAAAGTAGAGGAGGATGGGCATGCATGTTAGCTCGGCCCAGTCTTCCTCAGCAAAAAGAGGAAGATTGGCAGCAGATGTTAGCTCAGGGCTAATCTTCCTAAAAAAAAAATTATTTTCAAGTGTGAAATGGTAGTTGACAATATTTTTTAAATTAGTCCATAAATTATGGAGGTATGTGCTGAAAAATATGATGCCTGAAATTTACCTAAAAATAATATGAGAAGTGAGGGAAATTGATGGGAATAGCTATGAAACAAGACAGGCCATGGGTTGATAACTGTTGAAACAGGATAATGAGAATAAGTGGGTTCATTATACTATTCTTGCTACATTTATTCATGTTTGAAACTTTCTGTATTAAAATTAAAAAAAATTTTAAGTAAGTTAGAGAGAGACATCTTGCACAGAAAGGACACCTTTTCCTTTGAGACGGCAAACAGTGTGAATTATTTTCAAAACACTCACCTTTCCACTCTTGCCATCATCCTCAGCAGATGCTTGCATCCTTAATACCACATGAAATATTATTCAACTTCCTGTCAAAATACCCACACATTTGCTGCCTTTAAAAACACGTACCTTTTCCTCATTTCCAAATGTCTAAGTAAAGGGTTCCAACTGTGATCTCTTTCCTGTATTTTCAACTTCCTCACTAACGGCTTAATCTTAATAAACATCCTCACATCTCTCTGATCTTCAAAACAAATAGTCTCTCTTCCCTCTCCACTTTCCCAGACAGCTATCTCCCTTTTTCTCATCTCTCCTTCACGATGAAACTTCTTTAAAAAATATCTACAGTGGCAGAGACTGGTAGTTGCCTTTTGATAGCCATTCTCCTTGTCTTCTTTAATATAGATCTGCCCACCCAAAATAAAATACACCTCCTTGCCAACTGGCCATAGTGGAAAGGGTGTGTGCAACCACTTGGTGGTATCTTTTAATTGAACAGACAACCTTTTCTTTGATATCTCCCTCCTTCCTGCTGGATGAAATGTGGACAAAATCATTGGAGTTCCAACATCCATCTAGTACCACAATATGACTTTGGCAATGGAAGCAGTAGATGGTGGAGCAATACGATAGATTAAATTTCCAATACCTTGGAGTCCCTAATATATTTAAATCTATTTAAACCCTTATTAAACCCTTCCCTAACATCATTCCTCAGATTACTCCAATATGGCTTGCACACACACCGTTTCACTGATGCTAGTCCAACGCTTTCTCACATCATAGAACTTATAGGAAATGATATTGTACTCACATTGGCTGGAAGTAACCAGCCTGAGGGGTGCCTCTCACCACTCCAGGCCCCATAAATTTATTATCTTCTCTACAACGTTATTTGTCTTCTTCTAAGGTCAGTGAATGTCACTGCCTTACACTTAAGCCCTCAAAGTCATCTTTTGACTCTCCCCTTTCCCTCTCCTTTATGCCTCACACCCAATAAGTCAAAAGTAATCTGTTCCTTCTCTTGGAGCAGGCCAGACCTACTCAGAAAAAAATCAGATTATGACCCGTGGTTAATTCAAACATCATGCATTGTGTGTAAAGTATTTAAAAACATTTTTCATCTGTAAAGCACTACAAAATATTGACAAAAATACAAGAAGAACATGTGGCATAGTGGAAACATACAAAGCTATAGAGTCAAAAGTCACAAGCAAAAGTACCGATTTGAGTGTAAACAGGCAAGGTGACCCAAGGAAATCATCTATATTTAAGACCTGTTTTCTTACCTGTAAGCACTCTATTTGTTCATGCACTCAATGTGCAGTTACTGGGTTTCTATGTGTCAGGAAATGTGTGATTTGTTGAAGGTATAAAGATGAAAAGATGAGCAAGACATTCACTTTCCCTTAAGGAAGGAAGGCAAACATGCAAAATAATAATTGTTTTAAGCAAGCATCCTCAGTGGAGACAATGTTGCCCCCAAAGATGCTAGATTTGTGTATTTCTTTAGAAGTGGGCAAAAAAAAATTACTTTTTTACGTATAAAGCACAGACATACATATAGTACTTAATAGATAAATGGTAGAACTGTGGTATTAACCGAATGCCAGTTCTGGGCTAAGCACATTACTACTCATCATCCCATTTGTCCCTCACAACAAACGTACAAGATAGGTATTATTATCTTCAATTCACAATGATAAACGGCTTGGAAAGGTTAAATAATTCAAAAGATCTACTGGCTGACACTAGAATATAGGTTCCATAAATACAGAGGTTTTGTCTCAAAAGGTCATTGTTCTAATCCCAAAGCCTGGAACAGTTCCTGGCACTGAGAGGGCAGCCCAATGATATCTGTTGGACAGATGAATTACTGTGAGTCAGGAATGCATGGAGAAGTCCGGAAGCTCATGATGTCTTAGACTCCAAATCCTGTTGTCATAGTCTCTGTGTTATTGGAGGTGTCCAGTACATGGCTTTAGAATCAACTAATGGATCTATGGATAGATAGGTGGATATAATGGACAGAGAGAGGAAGAAAGAAGACAAGAGAGGAAAAGAAGGTGGAGAATATCCATTTTGATCTGTAATAGCTAGTGTGAGAATTAAATTAACAAATTTACATAAAAAAGTAAACCATAGACAATAACTAAATGCAAGATACCTAATAGAAGTTTCATTAGCAAAAACATAATATATTCCCTGACGATTCTCTCATGCAGTCAGCGCATCCATTTTTATGTCTCTTAGAGTCAAGCTGTTATCTGCCACACTGCTTACGGGACCAGCCTGGGGCTATAATGTTCGTGAAGCACAGCTGGAACTTGGATGAGCAACTAGTTACTAGCACTTTTCAAAAAAAGACAAAATAGCTGAAGAATAACTAACAAAAGTCACATAAATATAGGACAATATTTCTATAAGAAATACAATCATATTTAATGTCATTAAATTGGCAAAAAGCTATTACTAGAGTTTTTTAAGTGAAGATCTTCTGTTCTTCTTTTAGTTTGCTTCTTAACGTAAGACCTTGTGTGGTTCTATAAAAATTATTGGTCATGGGTAAGTCTGTACTACTTTCATGTAAGTGAAAGATAATGAGAATTTCAATTACGTATGGAATCCTGACTCCAACACATTTCAGCTGTATGACCTTGAGCAAGGTCTTTAACCTCTGAGCTTCAAATTTTGACACCTATCTAATCAGAGTGGTAAGGAGTAACGGGAAAATATGCATAAAGTGTCCAGCATAGTTCCTGGCATAGCGGAGGTACTCAGTAAATATGTTTCCTTTTCTTGGGTCAAAAAACACAGGTGACTTTTATACTCTAATTCAATGATTAAAATTTCTCCCCATGTCCATTGTTTCATGTTGAGACTTTAATAATAAAGATGAGATGGGGGCAAATATGGAACGTATTCTATTTTACCCTTAACCTGCATGATACTGACACTATTTGAGCTCCTGGTCTACCCGAGTTATATATATAACAAAACAAAACACCTTATGTATCACTTGGTTTTCCTCTAAGTTGACTAAATTTCTTGTTTAAATAAAATGCATACAAAATAAATGATATATTTTAAAATTATTTTTGTATTATTTAAGCTGCTCTGTATGGTCTGTGTTGCAATCACAGCTCACCACAGGAGCCTAACAATTATTGAGACAAATCTGCACTGTATGAGATCAAGCACAGTTTGAGCTTCAAATTAAAGCTTTTGAAGACTTTTTGGTTTTGGACCACAAGAAACTATATAAATTTTATAGGAATATTTTGGTTCATTGATGGCTGGTACCTTTAGTTACTCGCCAAAGCCTCAAATTCATTTTATCCCAGGATCTAGAAGATGTGGGATGTGTGTGTGTGTGTGTGTGTGTGTGTGTGTGTGTGTGTGTGTAGGAGACACTTTGGAGTCAGGAGAACTGGATCTAAATCTCACCCATGCTATTAACAGGCTAATTAGCAAGTTACTTGACTCAGTTTCCTTATGTCTAAGATGGAAGAGTTTTCGTGAAAATTAAAACGAAGACGATTCATGTAAGGGGTCCAGTAGAGTGCCTAGAGAACTAAGCCAATACTTCAAACTTTTAGCACGTTATTTTTATTATCATCAACGTTATAATTTTCTGTAGGAGATTAGGTATGTGTCAGTAGTCCCTTCACATTGCCCTGTGAAACAAAAATAGAATTCTTAACTGACTAAATTAGAGCCAACTCTAGAACGACTAATGGCAAGAAATCACAGTCCATTATCATACAATACTTTTAAGGAGCCTACCATGGCCCACTGTAGAAAGCCCCAAGTGTTTCATTCTATTTTTCACAAGTTCAGCAAGCTCTTGTCTTTCTGACCTCCTGAAGAAGTTCAGGCGCTGCTGGGTGATTTTCTCAGCGGTTTTACCGGAGTGCTTGGGACCTTTTCTGCTCAGCCTTCGGGCCCACTGCATGCTCTTTCTCCGCAGCAAGGGATGGTCTGACTGGTCGCTGGAGGTGGAGTTCCGGTGGTTGCTCCGGTGATGACCTTGTTCTTTGGAATCTTTGGTGTCTTCCCATTCTTCCACACTGATAGATATTTGAGACTTTAAAGGAAATGGATATTGACAATTAGATATTTAAGGAATCATTGTAGCCTGGAGTTATATATTTGTTGCTAATATCTTCATATAATTATACATCTCATGAGCTTTCACAGAAAGAGCAAAATGATAATCATTGATACCAATTTTCTGTTACTAGAAATATTATTAGAAAATATGTTTTTTTGAACTTATATATGAACCAGATAAAATATGTTTGCATCCTCCAATATAAATCAAAAGATTTACTGTTTTGTGCATCAGTTATCTTATCAAACTCCTAGCATAGAGTTGTTTGAAACCACAAACAAAAAGACTAGATGTTTTATAATTTTATTCAAATAAAGTCCACATAATGGACTTTTCTAAATCTACTACAACTATTTCATATAAACTTTCAATAAAGATTGTGAAAATGGTTTTATATTTTAAATTAATATTTTTAAAAGTTTTGAAATTATTGCTCTTTCTAAAGATGGCATTAGAATGAACTCTATAAATATGAATCTTTTTATTCCTTCATATGACTCAGAAGAAAACAAAAAGTACCGCCCCCCCTTTTTTTTTGGTGAGGAAGATTGGCCCTGAACTAACATCTGTTGCTAATCTTCCTCTATTCTGTATATGGGACACCGCCACAAGATGCCTTGATCGGTGGGGTGTGGATCTGAACCCATGATTGAGAACCATGAAGCCCAGGCTGCCAAAGCAGAGTGTGCAAATTTAACCACTATGCCACTGGGACAGCCCCTCAAAGAGCACTTTTTAATTCATGCAGCCATTATTCACCAAATAAAATGTTTTCTGATTAAAATATTAAAACATATCCTAGAAACTGTTCTCAGTATTCTAAATGAAAATATATTGTAAATATTGATATTTCACAAATGTATCCTAGAATCACAAAACTTATATCAGGCTATTTTCCATAGGAGGGAAAAACAATGAGCAAACTCATAAAATCTATTTTTATTTACTTTTATTACTAAATCTGATTTTAAAGTAAGAAGCTCTCCTTTGATTATAGGCCCTTCATAGAAAAGCTTCCTGTTTCAAAATTATTGCTTTCCATACCAGAAAGTCATATGAATGCCACATGATCAAAGCAGAAAGACTTACTTTCTGAAAGCATGCACATGCAAATAAACAGCTTCCTGCATTTTATCGTATATAAGGGCAGCATTCTTGAATCTACTAACCGTGTTTCCCTTCTATGGAGGGAAGTTTGAGCTTCAGCTAAAACATGCGTGTGTTGCTGGCTTTCAAAGTAATAGAATTTAAATTACCAATTTAAGCAAGGTCAGGAAGGGATCCAATAAAAGGCTTTAAAAGTGGATATAAATTAATGGAAGCTCGGTCAATGCCTTCATACAACTCCTAGCGGCAAGCTATGAAAGTATCTCACACTTGAACTCAGTAAAAAATGTAAATATTCACTCACATTTCTGTTCCAAAACAGTACTGTATCAGAGTGAAATCAAAAATGATTTATTTAACCTTCATATCTTCAGAAGAGAATCTTTCATTACAAAATTTTTAGAAACCTTATTTTCGCTGTCAGAATTTAAGTTGAAAGTATTAAAATTTTTAACACCATGCTTTTGCAATAATGAATACCCTTATGACTCTTAACTTAGTCTCGTCTCACCTACTTGATAATAGACGGAAAATCCTCTTCTGTGGGAGTAAAATCCATAAACCCTTGAGTACTATCTACCATCAGTAAAGAATATCAATCTTTATTCAGTAGGTTCAGTTTATAGGTACTTTGTAGCAAAAATGAATACATTAGTTCATTCATAATCAGATACTTGCCTTGTAGAGTTTGACTTTTTTCTACTTTTATTGTTAGAAGCCTAATATAATTATGAACTTGAAAAATCAAGATTTAATACTAATGTTTGTGAGAATGAGAAAAGGTATTTGCATATTGATATGATCTGAGCTGAATATCTGTGTCGCTTCAAAATTCATGTTGAAATCCTAACCCCCAAAGGTGATGGCATTATTGTGTGTGTGTGTGTGGGGGGGGTCTTTGGGAGGTGATTGCCTCATGAGAGTGGAGCCTTTATGAATGGGATTAGTCCCCTTATAAAAGAGATCCATAGAGCTCTCTAGCCCCTTCCACCAGGTGAGGATACAAGAAATCTGTGGCCAGAAGAGAGCCCTCAGCTGGCCATGCTGTCACGCTCCTCTCAAACTTCCAGCCTCCAGAACTGTGAGCAATAAAGTTCTGTTGTTTGTACGCTCCCCAGCCTGTGGTGTTTTGTTACAGCAGCCCAAATGGACTAAGGCACACATTTTATATGAAATGCTTCTGGGAACATATAGTTCAATAAGGAAATGGAAAATTCATATGGCTACTCCCAACAATTTTCGCTTAAATTTAAAATATTATCATTTTTGGAAAGTTATGTTATTTTCCAACTATCAAATTTAATGTGGTTGAAAAAAGGCTAAAAATCTTTCTCCAAAAAAATGAAAAGAAAACTTTATAAATGAGAAAATGTTCCTGGTGCCTAAAATAGCTTAATTACGTTCATTGTTTTCAGAAAGATAGAAAGTGTCAGATTCACAAAAGACATCAAACATTCTTTTCCACACTCCACCCCCCCCCCACACACACACTCTGAAGTGGCTCATATCAACTTCCTTTCAGTTTTTTATTGAACAGGCATCATGTCATGGGTTATTGAGGAAACTGTGGAACTAAGTAATATTTTAAAACAAATTATTTCACCCAGTAGTTTGAAAGTGAGTGTTGGTAATCTGCATTTATGATTCCCTTAGGAAGAGTTTTATAGACTTTAGACTTTAACTGTGTTATCTGATTTGTGATTGAAGACATTCTGAAATGTTGCTAAAGAAGAAAACAGAGGAAAATCAAATCATGAAACAGAGGAAAATGAAGATGTGTTAGTTTAACATTTTATAAAAGAATTATCTAATGTTCTCCATTAAAGAAAGGTTAAATTATAAGAATATTTGAAAGAGCATCTAAATTTAATCCATATGCACCAAGGCTAGTGACTTTGGAGTTTCCCATGGAAATTCCTTTTTATTAAAAAAAAAATCCACAGAAAGATGTTTCCCCATTTTCCATATGACTTGAGCAAACCAATTAAGCTTCTAGAAAAATAGTGAAATTAATACTTATCCTGGTTTTCCTGAGAAAAGTAAACAAAACTTATGAGAATCTAATAGTAAAACTCTATCATAAATTATAAACCAAATAATTACTCAAGAATTGAAGTTCAAATAATGGCCTTTTAAAAGCTAATCAATTGGTGGAATAACAAAAATTATTTCAATCTCTTGATTTCATTTTCCATATCTGAAAATAAGATATTTCATCTACACGTTCTCTTAGGTAATTTTCAATTTCATCTATTATTCTATGAATATAAGGTTTACTCACAGTAGGTGGAATCTCAATTAACACACCGTTTCAATTTGATAACTCCAAAAGTCAAAATTTAATTTTATATCCAAGTGAAAAAAATTCCAGGTTCTCTACCCAGAGATAACGTAAATAATCCACAAACTTATGCTATTAGTTTTCTTCTACAGTTGAACAGAGCACATCTCTCTCCTGTCTTTTTCCTTCTCTCTCTCCCTCTCTGTCTCTCATATCTAGCACCCATGTTTGTGTTATTAATCCTAAAAGAAAATTAAACCTAGTCACTCTTTTGTTTTTGGTGAGGAAGATTGTCCCTGAGCTAATATCTGTGCCCTACTTCCTCTATTTTTTGTATAAGGGAAGTTGCCTCAACATGGCTTGATGAGTGGTGTGTAGGTCTGTGCCCAGGATCCAAACCCTCAAATCCTGGGCTGCCAAAGTGGAGCATGCTAACTTAATCACTACACCACTGGGCCAGCACCAAACATAGTCACTTTTATTTTTATGGGGTAAGTCTCCTTTTTATTATTTGTTCTAAATTTACACATTAAGTTCTATATTCACACATCTTTGGTGATGTGGTTTTCTGTGTATGTGTGTGTGAGTGTGTGCGTTTAATTAAATCTTTGCTTTGGCTTCTGTGGAGTTTGAAACCTAGCTAAGTTATTTTCTTGGTATTACCTCTTGCATTGGTGGTTATTTTTTCCCCCGAGCTTTCAAAACTGTCATTCAGAAACAACTAGTGTAGAGGGGTGCAATTGCCTGATGCCTTTCCTAGTGCATTAAGCCCAGAAAATCTTACTTTTTCTTCCTTCTTTAGAACCTGAGTACTATTACCATGTAATTGCTAACTCTATGGGGGCTGTCCTCTCCCAGACTTTAAATAATTCATCTGAGTCCTAGTAAAGTGACTCATAAATATGTAGATGATAGCTGGCACATGTGTTACTTATTTTATTGTTCATCACATGTTTAGGAAGTTACTCCAAAAGAACTACTTGAGTTTTCTAATTTATACAGACTAAAATCTGGGGAATGTACATAGGAATGAATATTAGGAGGGTGGGAAATGGTGGAAGAAACACAAAGTTGGATCACAGAATTTATTGATATGGGTTTGCTAAGCAGAGGTTCTGCATTTAAAGTTGCAGCTTGTGGAGTCAGAAAGGGCTCAAACAGATTGTTTTGTTGGTTGGCTGAAACATGAACCAAAAGGTGGCCCAGAGTAAGTGAGTTGGAAATGCGGGACCTAGCTTGGTTTAATGTAGAGCAAGGGGTTTGAAGGCTCAGGGAGAATGAAATGTAAGAGTAGATTTGTCATTTGAAACCTACTCATCCACATTGAGAGGGTCCAGAAGGCATACCTTCCATCACAACTATGAGAAATAAATTTGTCAGGGGAATCCTAACATCCTTGAAGAGCTCCATGACTGCTCTTCACTCTTGGCCAGACCTTAGAATAGCAATGTTACTGTGCAAAGTTGGGGTTCTCTTGTCCGATGTGCATGAGGAGCCAATTATAATAGCATCAGCTGTTGAGAAAAGAAAGAAGCTTTATTGAAAGATTGATCTGCAAAGAGACAGGAGACATAAGCTCTCAGGT